TCTGGGGAGAGCAGGGTGTAATCACTGGGTTATGATGTTTACAAACTATAAAACTTTCAAAAGTAGGTTAAATGTGAAAATAAAACTGGCAACAATAGTTATTAAAGTACATTTTACTTAAAAATTCGGGTGAAATATTTCCCGGAGAAAACATGCATGTCACCCACAGTGCTCAGAAAGCACAGGGCTCTGGGGATCTGATTTCAAGTCCCAGCAAAACTACCAACCAGCCCGTGAACTTGAATGAGGCACTTGACCTCATCAGCTCCATTTCTGCTTTTATAAAACCGCTTCTCTGCACAGTTATGAGAATGAACTTTTATACATTGTAAAACTCGATACGCATGCTATTTAGCATCATTATCGTTATAAAACTGAATTCTTCACGACCCACGCTGATTGGCTCTCGGGGTTCCCAGTCTCAGTGAATGTCATTCAGAGCAAAAAGTGTAGCCTCATCCCCATTACTCACTCTCCTATCCTCCTTCAGGAGAAAAGTCTAGACTCCTCAGCTTAACCAGTCCCTCATGATCTAGCCTCATCTCCTGACATTTTCCTATCTTTCAATATTTCAAATGTTCCTGCTTTCCAATAGGCATCACTAACCATTTCAAATATCCCAATGCTTCTGAAATGCCTACCTCTGTGTTTCTGCACATGCCATCAGGTTCTTTCTGGAGCACCCTTGCTAGCCAACCTCATTTGGCTAATTCCCACGTGTTGTTCTTCAAGACTCAGCTGAAGCTATTCTGGGAAATCTTTCTTAAGTCCTACAGTCCTGAGTAAGCCTGCTGCTTTAGGCTTCCCCTGACCCTGCACACATGTCTGTGACAGTCTTCACCACCTCTGTACCAAGTGTCCATTCCATCTCCTCCTCTGGACCAGCCATTTCCAAGTGGTGAGCTGCAGCATCTTTAAAACATGCCACACCTGACCATTCAGTCAAGGGCACTGGCCTCTTTTCCCTTAGATTGTCAAATAAAAAAATGACAACAGCCAACACAACAATGGCTATTTGGTGTCAATGAATCAAAATTATACCTATTTTTTTTTTTGTCAGATCGGCAAAAAAAATATAACCTGTGTGTTGGTGTGCCATGAGATGAAAAGGCTGAACATCGCTGCTCTAGACCATTATGGTCCAGTGGAACTTCCTGCAATATTGGAAATGTTCTATACCTATATTATCCAATACAACAGCCACTAGCCATTAGAAAGATGGCTCGTTTGATTCGAGAGATAAGTGTTCAATTTTATTTCATTTTAATTATTTTCAATCTAAACTTAAACAGCCACCCGTGGCTCGTGGCAGTGCTGTTGGGTGGCACAGGTCTATGTAGACTGTCATCTCCAAAGGCCACACTGATGTGTCTTGGTGTCCGTGGCCACCACGGGATCTGGCAAACGGAAGGATTCGGTGTTTGTTGAAAGACCAAGTGAATATGTAAATATCCATAAACACATCTCACATATAGTGGGAATTGATCCCACACAATATTCAAAGCGTTCTGGGTTATCGTAAAATTTGGCCAAGATGATCACATCTTGTAAAGCGCACCTCATTAAGTATCATGGAAAAACCCACCCTCTGTGAAGCACTCGTTTCTCCACAGGGACTTCAGCTTCGCAGTGATGCTTAAATGACTTCCAGATGACTCCTTGATTAATGGTCCGCTGCTTATGAAATATTACAATAGCCATGGCAGCATCATTTTGGAATGTCAAAATCAACTACAATGTTTTATAAAGAAAATACATGGGTGTGTGTGTTTTTTTTAAAATCATACTTATATTAACATGGGGGGGAGGGAGAGGGAGAATCCCCTTGAATGCCTAAAGTATTCCTAGAGTATAAAAGACTACTCTGACCTCTTTTTTGAAATTAACCATCAGCTGCCCTAACTGAACATGTATGTGTGTTTGTGTGTGTATATTTTTAATATATGTATTTTATTGATTTCAGAGAGGAAGGGAAAGGGAGAGACAGAAACATCAATGAGAGAGAATTATTGATTGGCTATCTCCTCCAAGTCCCACACTGGGGATTGAGCACGCAACCTGGGCATGTGCCCTGACCGGGAATTGAACTGTGTTGTTCTCTGGTTCATAAGTTGATGCTCAACCACTGAGCCACACTGGCCAGGCTGAATGTGTTTTTGAAATCCTGTACAATATTTGGAGAAAGTGTCCTGGATTGATTTGATAGGCTCCAGTCACTGCAATAGCAGAATACAGAGAGAACATGACCTTGCTCCAAAGTACAAGCGGACACATTCAATTTGGTCCCAATTAAAAGTTTCAATTGACAGCACTCATGAGCTTGACAGAGGCTTGGTCATTTGAGATTTCAAGAACTCTAAGATGTGAACATCACAAAGCTGAGCTTCAGCAGGTTTGACTCCACATCCAAGTCCTCACTACGAACCTCTCAGAGTGGAGCCGGCAGTCAAAGGCCTCACCAAAGGGGGTCTGCACACCCACCCACCCAAAGAAGGAGAGCTTCTCCAGGCCCCACCGGGGTTGCCACACCTTCCACAGGGGCATCAGATGGCTGGACAACTGCTTGTTAATGTCCTTTCATTACATCATTACTTCTATCAAGGGAGACTAATCCTAAGTCTGAAACTATCCATACATATAAAAGGCTAAGCAACCGGCCAACTGGCAGACCAGCTGGTAGCTATGACGTGCTCTGATCACCAGGGGGGCAGACACTCAGCGCAGGAGCTGCCAAGCAACAGCAACTTTGCAGAGTGCCCTCTCACGCTCTGGGACCCCTCAGGGGATGCTGGGCTACCCATTTCAGCCTGATCCCCAAAGGCCAGGCCGAGAGATCCCGCTGCTGGAGGGACCCCGCTCACTATGCAGACGCCCTTCCAGCCCCAGCCTGCCCCAGGTGTGGCTGGCTGGAGAGGGACTGTGGGAGGTTGGCCCATCTCATCCAGTCCCACCCTGCAGGCCACCTTCTAACTAATTTGCTTTCAATGTGCACAAATCCGTGCACTGAACTCTAGTATGTGAAATAAAAAAGAATAGGCCCTCGCCAAGTGGCTCAGCTGGCTGGAGCATCTTGTACTCCAAAAGATACAGGTTTGATTCCTGGTCAGGACATGTACTTAAGTTGCCGATTCAATCTCTGGTTGGGGCGCATGCAGAAGGCAATGAGCAAACGTTTCTCTCTCACATTGATGTTTCTCTCTTTCTCTCTCTCTCCCCACCTCTCTCTCTAAAGTCAATGAAAACATCTTTGGGTGAGGATTTAAAAAAAAAGGAATAAGTAAAGTACCTCAAGCTGGATCATACATAGTTCACTCCTTTTAAATTCAGTTCAAAATTTTAATTAAAAGTAAGTATTTATTACAAGAGAATGAATGTTCACTAAAGAAAAATAGGCTAAAATGAAACATACATTGAATCCTTTTATCCAAAGATAGTATTTGCTGTATATGCCATTGCTTTTTTTTTTCTTTTTAATAAAAGTAGTTTTAAAAGAGTAAAATAAGTAGAAGCTAGCATTTATATAACCTCTGTTTCATGGACCGTCATTTAGCATCTATTAACTCATTCTGTCTTCGCCACACTACTACGAGGAGGGACTGTTGATATCTGTACCTTATAGACAAAGAAGCCCCGCTGAGGGAAGTGAAGTAAGTAACCTGACCCAGTTCACAAGCTTGGAAGTGAAAATAATCCCCGTTCAGTTTTGGCTCTGGGAACATTATGTTCAACTAAGTAGTGTGGGAAGAAAACTTTCTCCTTCACTTTATTAAATCCTTAACTGCGACTTCAATACTCCGTCGGAAGCAGGGAACACACCCTGTTTTTGTGTTATATTTTATTCCTGTACCCGGGCTGGGGGGAGGGGCCGAGCTAAGATAGGAGACATTCACGGACTTGCACCTAATACTCAACAGCTGGGTTGCAGCACTCAAATCTGTAACAAGAATTTAGATTCCTCAGGGCTGTCTCTCTTTGATGTGCGTTCATATCAAACTGTAATCTTCTTACCTCCGCATTCTACATAATCAATTAGCTTGGTCATGAAAAGCCTATATTTAACTTGATTCAAGTCTGATTTTACTTTTTTCCACCTGGCTCCGTAAAATATAACATGTAGTTCCCGATTCCTGTAAAACCTAAAAGTGCCTGTTTTGACTAGGAACCCCAAAAAAAGTGGGGAGGCCAAAAACAAAACGAAGGTTAAAACAAGGGGAAAGATACTGTCCACAATGGACACCGTTAAACTGGCAATGTGAGATGCAACTGACGAGTTCAGAGACACTCTTAAAGGCAAAGGTGTTCTTACACCTTTGGGTGTCCCAGAGGGTGTTCCATGCCTCTACCCCACCCCCAAAGGTCAATGGCAAATGTCCAAAGGGACCCACACTCCGTTTTCTTTCTCTCTCACGTCAATACTGTCGGCTGCACCAGGACCCTGAAATGCCTTGTATTATTCTTTATCGTCGTGTTACCCATACAGCAACTGCTCTGGCAACAAGGGTAATTATTATTATTACCCTATTACCCAGCAGCCTTATCTGGAAAGAGCACTGTAATTAATTTGTGTCACTGCAGCAGCATTCGTGGTTATAATAATTGCAGAAAAAAAAAATGTCTATGGACGTAGCAGTTTTAGTTCTGGCTTTCGAAAACAACTTCAGCATATGTGCTCCTTAGATTCCACATCTGAGTGAGGTCATGTGATACTTGTCTTTCTGTGACTGGCTTGTTTCGCTTAGCATAATACTGCCCAGGTCCCTCCATGCTGTCTCAACGGGTAAGAATTCCCCACCACCACCACCACCAAAAAAATAACTTCAGCAATTACACTACTTAAAAAAATCAAGTTTGTTTCCCTCCAAAAAAGCATGATTTCCTTTGCACAGAGCCCACTGAAGCTATCTGTATGTCCCCTAACAGGACACATTAGACTGTCCCTGTTGTAAGCTTCCAAAGAGAATAGAGAAAACAAACACAACAATTCTCCCTGTGATACTTACAGCTCCTCCAGAAAAGGGAAGTTCTTAAAAGCATCTTCTGGTAATTGAGTAATGTTGTTCATGCTGATATCCCTGGAAAACAAAATAAAGAAGTTTGTTAACTCAGTGACATTAGACTTGAAGCATTTAATTCAACAGAAAAATAATTAGGGGTGGTGTGTTTGTAAAGAAACAAGAAAAATGGGCATAAAGACAGACAAGGAACAGTCATACATTGGCTTCAGGATGCAGAAAACAAGAGAAGTGAAATCTTTTAATTTAGAAACATACCCAAATTGTCCCCCTTAAAGGATTTGTGGGAAAAATGTCTCAAACTACGTACAATGAGTGAGCCAGGGTGGCTTCCCAGTGGTATTAAACGTGCTGTATCTGATTTAAAAAGCAATAAATAAGCAAATAAGTACCCGAGGACGTGATGCAAAAATAATTTTGCTGGCAAGGATGGCTTTGCTTAAGCCACCGTCAGGAACAATAAAACAGGTCCTAGCTGTACCCTCGTCATATTTCTGCAAAACCTATAAAAATCCTCCAGGTAATAGCTGTGAGTGGATTTCATTTTTAGCCTATGAACAGATGCGGGCTGCAGACAAGTGCCTACATGACAGGTATGCAGTCCTTTCCCAGTTCCTCCTGACAGAGGCAGCAGAAAGGAGAGAATCACTTGACGATACAGCGCAACCATTAACTAGTTCCAACAGCTAAAAACTTTGTTAACCATTTCCATCTTCCCTGGCCACTGCCTGTTGAGTTGGCTTTCCCCTTCCATACTCTACTAAACATCGACACCATGAGGGACAGGTGGAGGCAGCCTCAGGAGGGACAGTCCCAGCATGCAATGGGTTGGTTGCCTCATGCAGGTTCTTCTGCCTCTGGTCTCATGTTAGTCTATGGCTCACCCTGCAGGTCTCTCCTTTCTGCAATTCATCATGAAAATTCACATGTGTGACCTTCCCTCTACCAGATTAGACATGTTGGTATAAGGGAGTGTAAGAAAGCCTAGCTGGTGTGGCTCAGAGGTTGAGCACTGACCTATGAACCAGAAGGTCACAGATCAGGGCATGTGCCCAGGTTGGGGGCTTGATCACCAGTAGGGGGCGTGCAGGAGGCAGTTGATTGATGTTTCTCTCTCATCAATGTTTCCCCCTCTTTCTCCCTCTCCCTTCTTCTCTGAAATATATATATATATATATATATAGATATATATATATATATATATATATATTATAAAAAAGAATGTGTAAGAGAAATCAAGCACAGGAAAATCAGATCACAGTAATACTTCGGTCAGATAAAATTTTCTTTTGAAGGATGTGACAACCTCAGTGCCAAGGTAGGAGACTGCCTTCCATCATCTTCCTTCTCACTGGAATTTAGGAATGGAATTGCATTCCTTCTAGTGACTAGCCCTTCCCAAGGCAGGTTTGGAAAACTTTGGAACAACAATAAGTGTAGCACCAAAAACAGCAACCACAGTAATGGGTAACATCAGATTGCACATAAAATCGCACTTTACAAATGGGGTTTACTGAAACTTAATCATCCCCCATACCACTGAGCAAGTAGTGTTACAACAGGAGAGGTGAACCCCAGTCTATGATCTTAACTGCAAACTCTGAGTCTCCTAAATATCATCTGAGTCCTTCAGTGAGAGTCAAAATGTAAAGCAAACCCTCTGTCCTGGTAAGATTTTTAACAAGGAGGGATACTGCCCCCAAGACCTTAGCACAATCCTCAGGGAATCTCAGGAAGAGCATTTTTGCTTGACGATTAAAACGAGGACTATATGCTCTAGCTGGTTTAGCTCAGTGGATAGAGGGTGGCCTGTGGACTGAAGGCTGGATTTGATTCCGGTTAAGGGCATTATGTCTGGGTTGTGGGCTCGATCCTCAATAGGGGGCATGCAGGAGGCAGCTAATCATTGATGTTTCTATCTCTACCTCCCTCTCCCTTCCTCTCTGAAATCAATAAAAATATATAAAACACACAAAAAAATGAAGATTATAAATAGCTTTAGCAATTCAGGAACCATCATACAAATTTCCTAGAACATGAAACTCCTCTGAGATGAATCTTATGACCATAGAGGTTCAAATGCATTCCAAAATTTTCTATTACTGAGAATGACTCACATTCTATTAAAGGTAACTTAAAAGAAAAATAAAATTAATATACATCTCCAGGACTAACTCTCCATATCCACAAACTAATATATGTTAAGCAACTATTTATATACTAGAGGCCTGGTGCATGAAATTCATGCACGGGGTGGAGGGGTGTCCCTCAGCCCAGCCAGTACCCTATACAATCTGGGACCCCTTGAGGGCAGTCAGACTCCCAACTGCTTGCCTGCCTGCCTTCCTGATTGCCCCTAACCACTTCTGCCTGCTAGCCTGATCACCCCCTAACCACTATCCTGCTAGCCTGATTGATGCCTAACTGCTCTCTTGACAGCCTGGTCACCCCCAACTGCCCTTCCCTGCAGGTTCGGTCACTCCCAACTTCCCTCCTCTGCAGGCCTGATCACCTCTAAGTGCCCAAACCTGCTGGCCTGATCTCCCACAACTGCCCTCCCTTGCAGGCCTGGTCCCTCTCAACAGCCCTCCCCTGCTGGCCATCTGGTGGTGGCCTTCTTATGCCCACATGGGGGCAGCCATCTTGTTTGTTGGAGTGATGGTCAATTTGCATATTACTCTATTAGATAGGATATTCTTTATGAACCCAGGCTTCGGCACTACTTTAGTCAGCTATCATTATGCCCGCAGAGGGGAAGGAGAACCACCTGTGTTTCTTCAGACACTCAAGCAAGGGTACTGGAGAAAAAACACCAAAATAGGGGTCAGGACAAACAGGCCCAACTTCCGGCCCGGCCACACGGCCACTCATCCTCCTAGACCTTGGTGTGCTTATCACTACGACGAGGGAGTTGACTGATTGGTTCGGTGGCTTCCAAGCCTGACCTTAACGACTCCCATGATTCACCTTTTTCTGTGGTTTCATGGAGGGGCACACCCTTCCTGATGAAAATACACATACTTCATTTTATGGAAAGGGCATGTTTCTGGGGGGGGAAATATGCCATTGTACAAAATTGAAAGACTACAACTTCCCCATTATGAAAGGGAGTCACTCCCATGGTAAACACCTGCGGCCTTCACCACGGAAATCATTCTTAAGACTACGACAAGACTTCCAAGCACACGGAAAGGCAAACTAATAATGTGAGAGGGCAGCGATTCTATAAAATATCACACAATTTTGGGGCTCTTGAGTCACTGCAATAAAAGGAGGAGGAAGGATAACCGTAATTTATTACCGTGCGGAGGGAGGCCCTCCGTGCAGCTGCCTCTCGGGCTGGCACACCCGAGCTCAGGTGCTATCACAGTAACAGAAAAACTGATTAATTGCCTCACCAGAAAAAGACACATAATTGGAGAGACTTTGCACCACTCTATTCTCTGCATTCCAACTTTTTAGAACACATACACATCTATGATTCTCTCCCCCCCATCAGCGTAACAAGACGTGACAGGTCGTTTTGCTGTGAGCTAGAGAGGCAATTAGGGGACCCCGTATTTACAAACTAATATGGGTTCAACAGGACAGGGAAGTTTTGTTTTAAAGCCGCAGATGGAGGAGCAACACTTGTTTTCACATCGTCCCCGGTTTCACACGCCCAGAGAGCTTCTCTCTCTTCACAGGTATTTTTTCTCTCATACTTTTTCGGGCTTCGGTTATAAAACATTCTGTGGGTAAGGTGAGAGAGTGGGGTGGGGACGGTGCTACAAGATGTTATCTCCGGAGAAGCTCTGGAAACATGTGGTTACAGAGTAGAAGGTGGGTGGGTACTCATTTAAAATAATGAGGGCTAATGGTGATAAACAACCTACAGACAGCCTGCAGAGCGGATCCCAGACCTGACATCACCCACAGCGGGCAGCGAGCTGCTCCGGGCTGGAAAGCATGCCGGCGGAGATGAGGTAACTGCAACGACATGGGAGCCCTGTGCCCCTAATTACACGGAGAGCCGGCTCAGAAGCCAGAGAAATGATGAAAATACATAAATAAAAGATGGGTAGAAAATTTTCCAACTAGAAAATGCACCTCCAGCTCGGTGCCCTGACATTCATTCATACGAGCAATAGTCTTCCTGGCAGCATCTGAAATTAAACCAGTGATTTCCCATCCTGGGTTCCATAAAGACAAGAGATATAACATAAAAACAAAAGACAAAAATGTCATCATCCATGGCCAGAGCACTACCAACTCATAAACACCTCTGAAGAGTAATTTCAAGAGAACCAATGGCCTTGCTTGAAGGTAGGCAGCTGGGGAAGTTGGAGGGTACAGGCCTGGGAAGCAGACAGGCAAGGTTTAACCTGTATGCAGATTCACAACCTTGGGCAAGCTGCTCCTCTTTTCTGAGCCCTAGCTTCTTTATTTGGAGAAACAGAAGCAGTCATAACTAAACCTTGTAGGTTACTGTGAAGATCAGAAAATGGCAAGTCACCCATAAGAAGATAAAGTATAGATATGTAGGTTTTATTTTATCGATGCCCATGTGTTTGAGTCCAGTGGACTATGAGCAGGCCAAGCATCATATCGCCTTCGGTGGCCTTCCTTCCCAAAAGAAACCCTTTTTATACAAGACACACACTAATTGGTGCAGAAGACCTAGAACCTGGAGTTCTTCCTTCCTACAAAACTACACTCTAAAGTCCACATCCCTAAGTGCTGGAGATTTTAAGCCAGAAGGGCCCTTCAAGATAAAATACTTCAAGTTTTAAAAATTTTAAGAAAAAAATTAAGGCTCAGTAGTTGACAAGAGTTAAGCACTCTTAACAAACAAACAAAAATGAGAGAGAAAAAAACAAAACTGCATTCTTATAGGAGATTTTAGAAAGACAAGATAACACAATAGCCATTTAAAAACTATCAGGATGACCTCAGGTTAGTGATAAAGAGAGGTTAGAGCCCTGACTGGTTTGGCTCAGTGGATAAGAATATCGGCCTGCGGACTGAAGGGTCCCCGGTTCGATTCCTGTCAAAGGCATGTAGCTTCGTTGCGGGCACAT